GGGGGTATAATTCCTGCTGCGGCTGTAAAGTAGAGTATCATGGCTGTGGCATGTGTACACCCCCTGTTAGGACCTAGATCTGAACCTGGTAACTCTTCTTGCTGAGCCACCTAAGATGCTGGGCAGCATCGTGTCTGATCTCTTTGGACAACGTTGCCTTGAACCTTTAATCCTTTGCTTCTCCCATAAACTTCCTATTAAAGCCATGCCTTTGCACGTTCTGTTTGCCAGATGATTGTGCTATCTCAAGCTAATATCTTGCTCTTGTCTCTCTTGCTGCCGTTCATATCTTTGCTACCACTCATTAACAACCTTTTGGCTTGCTCCTTGACTACACTTCTGCTTGATCCCAACCTGCAACCACTTGTTATCAACCTTTGGATTGTTTGCTGACTACGCTTCTGTTTGATTCCTACCTGCTATATCTGTTACTGGACCCCAGCTTTCTCACTTCCTGATGGACCTGTGGACTGCGACCTGGTATTAACCAATTCAATACCGGGCAATTTTACACCTTCCTGCCCAGGCCAGTTTTCACGTTTCAGCGCTCTCACACTTTGAATGACAATTGCGCGGTCATACAACATTGTACCCAAACTAAAATTTTATCATTTTCTTCACACAACTAGAGCTTTCTTTTGGTGGTATTTAATCACCGCTGGGGTTTTTATTTTTTTGCTAAATTAACAAAAAAAGACCAAAAATTTTGAAAAAAACACGTTTTCTTTGTTTCTGTTATAAAAGTTTGCAAATAAATAATTGTTCTTCATAAATTTAGGCCGAGATGTATTCTGCTACATGTCTTTGGTGAAAATAACCCAAATTAGGATGTATTTTTTAGTTTGTAGGAAAGTTATAGAGTTCACAAACTATGGGATAGATCTGATTATTGATCAATCCTGAAGTACTGACAGCCAATCTAATTTCTTGAGGTCCAAGAATGTCAGAACGATACAGATATTCCCCAAATGACTCCTTTTTGCAGAGTAAACAGTCCGACATATTTCATAAGAGGCATGGCGAGTTTTTTGAAGTTGTATTTTTTTGTCATAATTTTTCGGAAAATGAAAAAATTAAAAAAATTAGTTTCACTATTTTTTTTTTTACATATTGTCACCAGTGCAGTACAGTGTCATCATATTACTGGCATGGCGGTGATCAGGGACACTGACTGGTGACAGTATGAAAAAAATATATATATATTTTTTTCTTTTTATAAATTTTTTTTCTTTTTTTTAAGATTTTTCATATTTCACTATGACCAAAGTAGTACAATTTTACCATAGTAACATTGTACTACTTTGGGGAAGTGATCAGTATTTTATTTATTTATTTTTACACAATTTGCTTATAGCAAAGAATTACTTTGCTATAAGCAAGCATTTACCTGAATGACTTCGATTCATTTAGGGTTTTTTTTTTTTTTTTTTTTTTTGCTTAGCTGTGATTTGGCCACAGCTAATCACATGATATGTGCATGTGATTAGCTGTGACCATTCACAGCTAGACACTAGTATACAATGGATGGCATGAATGAAGCCATCCATTGTATACAACTGTCATGTGAACTGCTGTGATTGGTCACAGCAGGTCACATGGTACCGGCAATGGGGTCAATACTCAGATCTGTCATTGGCCGTGTCCGAGGTACATGGCCGGTGACAGATCGCGCCGCTGCGCTGCTCTGCAGGAGCGCAGTCTGCGCATGTGCGGGAGGACGCCATATGGCGTCCACCCGGAACGCTGATGACATTTGCCGCCCGCCATTCGGCCATAGGGCGTGCGGCAAATGGTTAACCCATCTCCACCACCAGGAGCTCTGGTGATTACCAGTTACTACTTATACCCCACACCTCGGGTGAGTCAGCGTCATCTGCTAGGAGGGCCTGCTGGTTGGTGGGAGTCTCTCTGCTGCTATAGCTTCTGGTCTTTGAGCCTGACCCCTGATTGTGACACCCTGGGCCTCTGCCTTTCCAGCTAAACGCAGTAAAAGCAGGGCTCAACTGTAGGGTTTCACCTGCCCACAAACTCACATGTGAATAACTTCCTAGATACACATTTATTAATACAGGTTTACCTCGGTTTACGAACGCCTCGGTTAACGTAATATTCGGTTTACAAATGAAAATCCATTGAAAATAATGCTTTGGTTTACGAATTGTTTTAGGAATTTTTTTTCGCAATACGAAGTGTATGTCAGTGACAGTTTTTCAATGCAATTGCTGGGTTTTTTTTTCTTCGCTATAGCTCACAGAATTAGCTGTCACTGTCCCAGAGCTAAAGGATACTTTGTTTCTTTTATCTCCGGAAACAAACTTAAAAGAAACATTGTTTCTTTTAACTCAGGGAAATAAACTAAAAGGAAACTTTCTTTCTTTTAGCTGGGGGAAAAGTGACAGCTGATTCTCTGAGCTAGAGTGAAGAAAAAAAAAGTAGGTAATTACATTTAAAAACTGGCACTGTCCTATAGTGACAGCAACTTTTTTTTTTACTTCTTTCTGACCACCGGAATGGATTAATTGGTTCTCAATGCATTCCTATGGGAAAACATGTTTTGGTTTACAAATGTTTCACCGGAGAATGCATTAAATTCATAAACCAAGGTACACCTGTATATGTTAATGTATATCTGAAGCCATTTTTCCAAAGCTGTCTAGAGTAGGAAAAGGTTAAAATCCTTGTTGGGTGTTTTTGTCAACTGCATTCCATTCAAGAGGTTTCCCTTTACAGCCTGCCCCATTGACACCACAGTAAGTCATGGAATTTTCTTCAAAGTGTGGCAACTTGTGATTCGATAGTTGGTACTGTACCAAAGGTTTCAATTGGGAATTTCTCTCTTCTTTGTTCTTTTCCTGTTCTTGGGTCAGCTTAAAAATTTGGATTTACTTTTACTCCAAGCCGTAATGGCCACAAGGGCAAGTAGTGAGAATGAACCTCCCAGTGGGGAGACACAGTAATATCAAACTGATGGAGATTCTAACCCTTCACCACTCTGTTACAAAAAAAAAAAAGCCTTTGCACTTCAATGCAGAATTCCAGCCAAGAGTAATAAGATAGAAAGGAACAGAAAATTAATAAATTTAATTTCTACCTTCAATGCACATATTTCCCCTGCAGTACAATTTTATGCCACTAGACGTCTCCAGTCTGATGTATTCCACAACCTCTGAGCCCAGGTCCCCCCCTTCTTCCTAGCTTGCGGAGCTAACTTGGGGCCAGTCAGTCCAGTCACATGTGGGAGTACAAGGTTGTATAACTGAAAGCTGTAAAGTCAGCATCTTAGAAGAATTATATGAGCATATAGCTGATTTAGCTTGTTTTAGTCTTGTATGTTGTGAGAAACCTAAGTTGCTATTTCTCCTTTTCTGTTACATTTGATTTATTCCTGATTTATATAAGGAAATGGGCAAATTCAATAAGTCATGACCAGTAAAAGATGCCCTCTTGACCCAAAAGAAATGTCTTGCTTGCAAGTTCTACAGATTAATCAAGATCTTGAGACAGGGAGATAACCATTTCTATTCTTATGAAGGTGTTAATTCAAGATCATATGACAGTAATGGGGTGATGAGGTATAGGATGTGTTAACAGACATAAAATGTATTATGTCAAAATGGGTATATAACTTTTCAATCTAATGAACTTTATTGATTAACCCTGTGCACAGTTGACATTAAATCTACCAGTTGGAGCAGGAATTTGGGGTTATCTATCATAATGCTGGTAAACCAGAACGGCCCCTTTTCACAGTTTGGTGACACCTCCATGATTATAGAATCCTGAACTGATTGGACTTCTTATCTTTCTGCAACTGGTGAGTTTTCTCATTTTTATACTCTCCTTGTCATGGGTAAGTTATTTCAGAAGGACTTTGCTAACCACACCACTATGCCTTAACCAACACTGAAAACAGAACACACATAAGAGGTGTTGAATCGCCATTCATAGCCATCTTTTTTTTATAAATACCAAAATGTATTAAATGTATAAATAAATACCAATAACAAAATACAGAATTGAATACCAAATTGATTTGACAGCTTTTGAAGACACTTGAACAAACATCGAAACACAAGATGGTGTCTGCAGGCCAAAATCCAGTTTGATGGGCCCCTATCCCCACTACACTGCTTTTTTGCATTTACACAAATTTACTTCAGATACACATACCTAAATCTTGGGTCAGAGACTGGTCTATAGTTAAGAGGGACACCATACCTGAGATAGGTCCCCATCCAATTTATCAACAAAATGACCAGCTTCAAAGAACCTGCAACCAAGCTGAGACCCCTACCCCCTGTTTTCCTCTTGCCATTGTTTGTCTGGAAAAAGTGCTCAGAGCCAAGACAAACTGCCTTTATGAAATGTCCATCTCCTTCCTAGCTGTTGTCAGATCAGCCATGGCAGGAGGGAAGAGGGTGTGGGTCAGACATCATAGTTGGTGTAGCACTCTCCTAGACAGGTTAAGGTTTATTTATATATTTGTTTATTTATTAGCTCCACTATAATCAGTGGAGCAGTGTGTTAAATTCTCCCTGATGAAGCCACGTGATCCGGTGGCATAACGCATAGAGGAGGGGCTCTGACGTCACAACGCTTGTACAAACAGTGAGAGAGGTACCAGCAGGATTAAATGAGAGAACTGCTAGTGCTATTGGTAGCACTTTGACTACAGGAATCACATGAACATCTAACACATGTGATTATAAATGCATTTATTTATAAGCTGTATTCTAAAGGATATAGCACTATATTTTGATTATTTTCTTATGGCATCTTAACCAGTGGAGGTGGAGCAATAGAGGAGTAAAAAGGAATCCAGACCCTTAGGATCTGTCAGTGCAACCCATCAGTGGATCTGTCAGTGCTGCCATCAGTAGATCCCGTCAGTGCCACCATCAGTGCATCCCATTAGTATACTTGCCAGTGTACCGGTCAGTGCAGCCCATCACTGCATCCATCAGTGTACCTGTCAGTACATTCATCAGTGCAGCCCATAGGTGTACCTGTCACCACAGCCAGGGGCGAACTGACCATTTGGAAACTCTGGCACTGCCCGAGGGCTGGGGTCAGTAGGGGGCCCAATGAGACCTTTTTCATAGGCTTTTTTGAGTTTGGGCAAGGGCACAGGGGCCCCCATGATCCCCTATTGCCCGGGGGCCCCATGAGTTGTCAGTCCGCCCCTGACCACAGCCATCAGTGTAGCCTAACCAATGTACTCATCACAGAGTCTACACAACTGCCGCCCATCAGCAGTGTACCCATCACAGCCACCCATCAGCAGTTTACCCCTTATACAGCCACAATCACCAGAGCTGCAATGTCCAAAAAATATTTTACTAGTGAGGAGCAGCTCAAAATAATGTCAGATGAGCATGTCAGATGAGAGCAGAGGGGAGCTCTCACCATCCAATTCCGAATCGGAATACGAGCCAGTAGAAAGTAGTTGGTCAGAGACCGAAGCAGTCCTTCCTAAAAGGATACAGTGCTCTGAAGAGCAGTCAACCACAAGCAGCGCCATACACCCCAATGGTCAATCAGCAGACACCAATGGCGCTAGACCCCAGAATGAAAGGCCCAGTACCAGCACTGGAGCATCCCAGCAGACCCCAACAATTAGGGCCCAAATATATCTTCACCTGGCAAACCTTTTATGGCTGCCTTCCAGCTTAGGATCAGCTTCACCGCACAGCCAGATGTGCAAATCAATACTGAAAGTTTTTCTGAAATTGATTTTTTTTATTTTTTTTCCCTGCCGATTTACTTCAATACATTGTGGACCAGACGAACCTTTTTACTCAGCAGTATATTGATAACAATCCCAGTAGAGGAGTTACATTTTTTTTGGGCCTTACGTTTAACATAGGTCTTACAAAAAAAAAAGCAAATTGCATGCCTACTGATCCACCAACCCCATCCATCATATGCCCATCTATTTTGCTGTAATGTCCAGGTCACTCTATGATCTGATCATGTGATTCCTGCATTTCACTGATAACTCACAGTGCTCTCCTCAAGATCATCCCAACTATGTCAAGCTATACAAAATCCGTCCCCTAATAAATTATTTTGCCAAGAGATTTGTGGAACTTTATGTCCCTGAGCAACAAATTTGTGTGGAGGAATCCCTTGTCCATGTCACTGGCTGGCTGGGATCAAGCAATACATTCCCAGTAAAAGGGCCAGGTATAGATTAAAGCTAAACAAGCTCTGCGAAAGAGCTACAGGATATGTGCATGTCTTCCGCTTGTATTAAGGCAAAGACTCCCAGCTCCAGCCCCCTGGGTGCCTAACCTACATCGGCACAGGTGGCAAAATTGTCTGGGACTTGGCATTCCCACTGTTCCAAAAAAGTTATCATATCTACCTTGATAACTATTGTACCAGTCTGCCCCTTTTCCGGCATCTGTACCGCGAGAAAACCTTAGCCTGCGGTACCCCCCGAAAAAATAGAAAGGGCTTCCCACAAAGTCTAGTAACCACAAGGCTACAAAGGGGGAATCCGCAAGTGTAAGAAATGAGGAGGTGTTGGCCATGAAGTAGAGGGATAAGAGAAATGTTTACGTCCTGTCCACCATCCACAATGACACTTCGGTGGAAATTCACAGAAGATGCAGTCCCATCCAAAAACCTGAATGTAGTCACAATTCTAATTGGTTCATGGTGGGGGTGGGTTTAAATGATCAGATGCTACAGCCCTATTTGTCAACAAGAAAGTCCCTCTTCTGGTATAAAAAAGTTGCAATTTATTTTTTCCATTTGGCCATTTACAATGCGTTTGCTATCTATCAAATGTCAACCAAAAGACCCACCACCTTCCTCAAATATATAGAAGAAATGATCACTGCCCTGATCTACAAGCAAGGATCCCCCCCAGAAAACATTCGCTCTGATTGTGTGAGCAGACTCCACGAGTAACATTCTCCAGAAAAACTTCACCAACAGAATCGGGAAGAAGATGCAAAAAAAAATGTTGGGTATGCAGCAGAAGAGGAGTTAGGAAAGACACCATTGTTCATTGTCCCCAATGTCCCTCCCAACCGGACCTATGCATCGGAGACCGCTTCCAACGTTATCACAATATTAGTTCCCCTTATTTTTAACAGCCTGCCATTTCCCAGTTTCCAAAATCCTTGCTGATCATTTACCTGCTGCCTTGATTGACCATGCCTTTGTCTTCCACGCTAACTGACCCTGGCCTGTTTACCAACAATGCTTTTGCCTGACCCTTGAACTGATCTTTTGCCCTGCTACTGTAGTAGTGGGATGCAAGATAACACAGGAGTCTCACATATGTGAGGGGCTTCAGAGTAGAGAGAACCAGTTTTTGGCTTTCTCAGGGTCTGTTAGTCTGGAGGCTTCGGAGAGATTGGGTGGGACGAAACCTCTACCCCTATGGCCAGATCTTACCTGACTAAGGCCCTAGGCCAGATGCTCCTTCCTGCTGCCTGGACCAATACTGTGCTGACCATATCTCTGCCTTCTGCCTGTAATGACCCAGGACTTTTTATGGACCATGTTTTTGTGCATTACCTGAACCAGTACTTTGGCTGTGCTGACCATATCTCTGCCTGTAATGACCCAGGACTTTTTTTGGACTATGTTCCTGCCTGCTGCCTGGACTATTTGTTTGGCTATTGCTGACCACATCGTTGCCTGCTTCCTGGCCCACTGCTCTCCTCTACAGACAACTTCTCTACTATAACTATAGGTAATATTCTGTTTACCCTTTTGTATAGCTAAGCTGTGAAAAAGTCTCATGCATGTGGTATCACCATACACAGGAGGAGTAGCAGAATGTACTTTGGGGTGTAATCCTTGCTATATCCATGCTCTGTTTTTAGAAATATCTTCTAAATAGACAACTTTGTGTAAAAAAAAAATGTTTTCATTTCCTTTCCACATGTTCACAAAACTTGTGGAAAAAAATTGCACGTTCAAAAGACTCATTATGCCTCATAGAATATATGTTGGGTTGTTTGTGTTCCAAAATGGGGTCATTTTGTGGGTAATTCCATTGTCCTGGTGCTCCATTGCCTTGAAAAATGCGATAGGTAGTCAGGAAATTAAAAGTGTACTTTATGCCCCTAAAATGCCTGATGGTGCTACTTGGATGTTGGGCCTCTGTATGTGGCCGGGCTATGCAAAAGTCTCACACATATGGTATCGTGAAACTCAGGACAAGTAGCAGAATGTGTTTTGGGGTGTAATTGCAAGTATGCATATGCCGTGTGTGAGGAATAACTTGTTAATATGTCAGTTTGTGTTGAAAAACAAAAAAGTTCTTAATTTTCCCAAGAATTGATGGAAAAAATGACAACTTCAAAAGATTCACCATACCTCTTACTAAATAGCTTTGACTGTCTACTTTCCAAAAAGGGGTCATTTAGGGGTTATTTGTACTTTCCTGGCATGTTAGGGCATCAAGAAATGAGATAGGCCGGCAGTACATCGGGTGTGATCAATTTTCAATGATTGGTACCATAGCTTTGCAGACTCTATAACTTTCCCACAGACTAAATAATATACCCTGATTTTGGGTTATTTTTACCCAAAAAATGTAGCAGTAAAAATTATGGCCTAAAATAATACAGAAAATGTACTTAGTTGCAAAATTTTTTAATAGAAACTAAAAAAAGTGTGTTTTTATTTTTAATTTTTGCTCTTTTTTTGCTTATCTCACAAAAAAAACTCAGTAGTGAGTAGCCTCCCTGGCGGTATTCCCGAGTGTAGCTCGGGGTAAAGTTTCAGCACCACAAGCGGTATCCCGAGCTACACTCGGGCTTACCATGCAGCGCTGCTCCTGGATCTGTTCTTCTCTTACCTTGTCCTGCACTCCCGCGATGTCCCTCCTGCAGTGTCCCCTGTAATGTCCTCCGGCGGATGCCGGCATCTGTCTTCTGGGTTACGTCCCCTGCGATGTCCAGATGTACGGGGGACGGAACCAGCGGGAAATTTGAAATGACAAAAAGTGACATTCACTAAAATCCCATAGTAAAACATTACTGTATCAAAGCATTTCACATACATTTTGTCCCGAGTGCTTTGTCCTGTGCCCTGCCTGCATTTTTACAGTTCTTTCTGCCTGGAAACTAAGAAACGTCCATGGCGTCCAAAAAGCGTCCCTTTAGGTCAAAAGCGGTTTTAGATCAGCTAGAGAACAGCGATAGCAAATTAGAACCACTTGCAGAATTGAGTGATAATGATTCGTGGGGAAATTTGTCATCAGACACTGAAAACGATTTTGTGACTTTGCTCAGTGATGTGCGAACTTGGCGCTATACTTCAAATTTCAGTGTTTTTGGTTTGATTATATTATTGAATTAAATTATTATTATTTTTTATGATTATTTATTAAATTATAATTTAGGATTTCGTGTTTCAAATTTTAACATACCCGGGATGTTTACTAGACTCTTGTTCGGACAGATTTCAGTGAGTTATTCCTAAGAATTACAGGCCTACAATAAAAAAATACATACTGGTATTTCCATGCAAAAAAAGTACCGCTTTGAGCACAGAAATATGGACATAATCAGACCTCTAGGGAGTTAAGTACCACCAAAATGAAGCTTTATCTCTATGAAAATGATAAAAGTTTTGTTGAGGTACAGTGTAGCATGACAGAGTAATTGACATTTAAAGTGCGAGAGCAATGAAAGCTGAAAATTGGTCTGGGTAGGAAATGGGTAAAAGTGCCCTGTGTTGAAGTTGTTAAGGTGAGTTTTACATAATGTGCTTGTATGACATTACCTTGCAGGGGACTTTTTTTTTTCTTCTTTCCTGAGGTATACTATCGCTTTAAGATGTGGAGACCAAACGCGTTAGCCATTTTCGTGGCTCTTAGCAACAGTTTCACTCACAGCGATGTGATAGGATCTTATGAATCTGCTTTGCAGAGAACTAGGGAGTGCACAGATCTTATTAAAATAAATTTACCAACACTGATGATTGTGTTCTGTGAGAGGAAATTAATTGCATTCATAGTTCTGTAAATGTTCTATTACTTAATCTCTGACAATTAGAAATTCCTCCATTACTCCATAACACGCAGCTGGAAAAGACATCTGCAAAAAAGGAAAAAAAACCTAAAAGCAGAACAAGAACATTTTTACGCTTCACACAAAAATTAGAACTTTGCAGGAATTGCCAAAGCTAACTGTACAACTAGTCATTTTGAGACAGAAAATTGTGTTGCGCTGCTGAAAATTCAATCATCATGTGTTACCATAACTGCAAGTGTGACACCATCCACAGTTACACATGAATAAATCATAAATAACCCA